AAGCAGCAGGCGCACTTCGCAAACGAGGGCGCCCTTACTCCCAGCAAATGGGCGATAGAAAACCGATCGGTGCGTATGACATTCCCAATATGCGCTGGCATGACGTCGGGAAGCATGAGTACGAGTAAATGGGCGTGATGTCGCCCCGGGCACCAGCCTCAGTCCACTCATTGTAAAGTTCACCAAAGTTCTTGAATCAACTTTCCTCCCACAGACTTGCACTTGGATTAACTGGTGATCATCATCAAAGTAAAAACAAGAAAATATTTGAAAGATTTCATGTGTAATAATTGTAGAACATATGAAGTTTACCTTTTAAAAAATTAAATTACAATAATAATTTTACTATTCTAACTTTGTGAGATGTACAGTAGAATGATTTAGAATTTTATGGCCTACTTATAGCCCCATTAAAACAGATCATACATAAACCAGAGTTTTAGTTGTTGTTTTTTTTCACATTCATTTTGACTTTTAAACTTTCCTATTCAGTTTAGTTTCAGTCAGTTTCCAGAGTGGGTTTGCTTGTTTCAGTTTAGTTCTGATTGTTTGAAAATGTTTAGTTTTGGTTTAATTGTGTTAGTTTTAGTCTTTTTATTATTATACAGAGGGTATATGTGGGACCAATCACTCACAGTCATCACAAACATCCCAAGTCTCAATAAACATGTGCATAAAAGCCTCATCAGGAAGTCAGTCTTTTTAAAAGTCTGGCTTTTATTGCGAACTCAAACATTTTTTCACACTAATTTTAGTTTAGTTAGCTATAATAAGCTTGCCCTACATTTTCGTGTGTTTTTGCAGGAAACCCAAACACACGTAAAAGGCTGCAGCCAGGGTTAGAAGCAGGAACCTTCTTGTGGTGCAGCGCTAACCACAGCAACGCCATGCAGCTTTGTGTGGGGACAAATTTTAGTCTGTGGTAGCCACCTGTCCACAGTTACAAACAAACCTCGTGGCACATCAACAGGTCTAAAATCAGCTTACAGTCATGACGTTTTTATTTTAGCATTTGCTTTTATCCTTTCATCTTCTTTTCATTAGTAACCTATATTAACCTAAGACCACAATGATAATACCTCAAATATTCCCCTTGCGGGCTTTTAATTGATGGCAACTGAGTGGCATTTTGAGCTATGGTATGACCCCAGATCTAGGAGGTGGGTGGAGGGAGACACCAGTGAATTCCCTCAGCAGTCTGATTACACCACCCAGCAATTTTCCATGTTGACATTTTCTAAATGTAAAAGACCGCACAGTCAGAAAGTTGAAGGTTGGATATTAATCATCTACCACTTTTGTTCTAAAAAAAAATGTGTGGGGTTCAAGGAAAGGAAGTAAACAACACTTATTCGGTGACATCTGTCACGGCATTCAAATGAAGTGAAAGAAGTGATTAAATAAAAACCTAGTTACAGTGAACTTTTAATGCACATATAAAAAAACATTTCTTAGTGCCGATCTAGACGACGTGACAAAAACCTGATAATCACCCAACTAGTTCCCTAAAAGTCAAGATCAAGTGATTTAAGAGAAAGTTTAAGATGATGAATATTCAGAAATTTCATGATGATCACAGTTCAGTGGCTGTGGTCCAAATACATATATATCTCATTCGTCCTCCCTCATCTGTATCTACTCTTCTCCTTGTCCTTGGACCTCTTGGGAGAGCGACTGCGGCTCCTGTCCCTGTGGCCTTTATCGTGCCCCTCTTTCCCATGTTTGACCCGGGACTTGCTGTGCTTGTGGTCCCTGTCTCTGGAGCGAGATCGTGAGCGTGAACGCTGGCGACCTCCCTTTCTGTCCCGCCTGCCCTCCTCACTGTCCTGGAAAAGAAGGAGAGGCAGAGTATGTTCAGTAAAGCAGGTCGTCTTTAAGTCCATAAAGAGAAAGCTACAAAAAATGTTCTCTTCTCTCTTTTGGTTACTAGTATTTAATATATTTTCATCAGTACACAATTGTAGGATTTGCATACGTATGGAACAATAAGCTTTATTATTACCCGGTTTCCAGCGTGTCGTACAAAGCATCCTGAGGGTGGTTTGCAGCCTTAATGCTGCTAGGCTAGCAATCAGCTCATAAACTGTTTCAGTTTCAGGAGATTCTGAAGGCGTGTGTCATGCAGGAAATAAATTTGCAGTAACTGAAAATGACGTCAGTCAACCAAGAGTTATGTTCAACTTGTAAGCCTGAGAACAAGTATCAGTCAAAAGGATTGACACAAGATGAGACCTGACAGATAACGCACAGGAACAAATTTCATGTTTCGCTTTTACAAGGTAAAAGTTGTTACTTTCCCCTCGGACCCATGGCATCTCTGGGAAATGAGTGTTTCTCAGGCACTTGGGAAAATATTTTCCAAGAATCTTATTTTGTCTTTGTTTTTCAGGTAGGGCTGGATTTATTCATGCACGAGCTGTTTTTGTTTATCCAAAGTTCAGACATAACAGGAAAATGCAGGTTTCTCTCAAATAAAGTAAACGACTAATTATTTACTGTCGGTGGGCAGGAAGTCCTGCAAGGACTCCTTCTGATCCAGAAAAATCCCTTTAATATGACCTTTAAGTTAACCTTTTACATACACTGAGGCTATTTATGACATGACTGAAAGATCCACATATTGTCTGACACTATTATACATTAGACACAAGTTCAAGAGCCAAAAGAATTGCAAGTTGTGCTGTAAAAATGTATATTTACAACATGACTTGATCAATGTCACATTACAAAAACAAGAGTGTATTTCTTTTCTTTTAAAAATGACCATAAATGTTTGAGTGTTAGTATTTACTGCTATACTTAAACATGAGTAGAGCAGTTACACAAATGCAATGATATAAATGATATAAATATTGCAATGAATTCTGTCCTGACTGGTTTCACTCCACATCCAAAGTTGTAAAAAATAAAAACAACCAATCTATTCCATTCTTTTCCCTGTGGAGGTGTTGATACACTGGGCTCTTTTCTAGGCAAAAGAGCCTAGAAATGAAGATCTTAGGAGAATAATTAAATTAAATACTGACTGGGCAAATGTATAATTAACCAAAGAAACAAGGAAACACATCACATGATAAGCTGGGGCTATCTTGACATCTGATACCATCTGTGAAAAACATGCTGACTATTAAATTCCATATGAAGCATCTGAACATGTGAGACACATGTTTTTGTGGAGTCATTGCAGAAATGAGAACAAACGGTTTTTAACACAATCAACAGACTGTCCACAATGTGCTGGGCTACACACTGACAGATGGTTTTAATAGAAACGAGGAAACTCCAGATATCAAAGGTCAGTGTGTAAACAATGGAGTCGATCACTTCATAACCTAATTAGGCAGCCAGCCAGGTAACTCCTCGCCTGTAAACACAGACGCTGTAAAACACACTCTGGGACGGTTGTAACTGACAGTGAGCCCATCACCTAACGAGGAAGATTTCTGTCAAATATTTATATTCAACTGTGTGTGTTGTGTGTATAGACCTAGACTAAATAGGGCTCAGTGATGCACTGCGATTGCAGCTCTGTATAACAAAGGAAATAACTCAGTGAACACAGTATAATTATTTCAGACCCTAAATCAGGGATGTCCAACTCCAGGCCTCAAGGGTTGGTGTCCTGCAGGTGTGTTGTCCCTGGGTCAACACACGTGAATCAAATGATTAGTTCATTATCAGGCCTCTGGAGAACGTCAAGACATGTCGAGGAGGTAAATTAGCCATTTAAATCAAATGTATTGGTTCAAGGACACATTTAAAACCTACAGGACCTTGAGGCCTGGAGTTGGACACCCCTGATCTAAATAATCCATACTGGTTCGGTCTTTTGCCAAGTGAACTGTAATGACCTTTGACCTTTAACATGTTATCTGAGGCTCGTATAATGAGATGTACCTCTTGTGTTTTTTACAGTTTCTCGGAGCATTGCTGGGAGGTCCAATCTCTGAATCACTGACAACTGTCTTTTCCACTTGTGAATAATTCATCTTATTGTCCATGGTGGAATTCAAATTGTTGGGAATGACCTTATAACCTTTCCCAGACTTGCTTCTCTAAAACCTTTACCGATATCTTTCCTCTGTGGTGCGGTGCACTCTCTTGAACAGTTCAGGCCCACACACAACCAAAACCTCTGCTATTACAGAGGTGCTCGAATCGTCTGATCATCAGTTAAACAAGTGCAACACATTTTCAGGACCTGACTGCTGCTTACTCTCTTACACATCTCCTGCATTGTTATTATGTTAGCTGGATGTGACATGGGCAGTAGAGCCTGTGATTACAAGCTTCTAAACTCCTTTAGAAAACTTTTCTAAATATTAATATATTTACTGTGTATAACAATATAGACTGACTATTTATAATCCATGTAATCTATAAGTAGAAATCAACTTATTGGAGGTATCTGGTTGAGTGAGTGGGAGATGTGCAACTATTTTCTTCAGCAATTACTTTCATCACTGATATATCAGAGTGTCTGTTTTCTTTTTGAAAAAGTCAGAACCCGTACCAGGTTAAAGCAGTTATATGTGCACAAGATATAACATGATAATAAATGGTAAATGGCCTGCATTTGTATAGCGCTTTACTCAGTCCCTAAGGACCCCAAAGCGCTTTGCACTACATTCAGTCATTCACCCATTCACACACACATTCACACACTGGCAATGGCAAGCTACATTGTAGCCACAGCTGCCCTGGGGCGCACTGACAGAATAATAATAACTGTATGTTAATTAAACGATCCAGTTAGTCTTTAATAAAGGTGAACTGTCACCTCATGTAGAGGCACGCATCCCCCTCTGCCTCCGTTTCATGGTAATATTCTTTTACTACTCCAAGTGTTATCAGCACAAGTACTGATGATAACTCTTGGAACACGTAATACCTTCATCTGCTGTGTGAAATTTATATTTCTATAATGATACAAAATACAGCAGCTAGTATGACTAACTCTCTTTACCACTGGGTTAAGATGGTTTAATCCCTCAGAAAATTCAACATGAATTTTATAGCTAAAGAAGTTATGCTTTACTTTAACATGAACCGCTCTGCTACTCTTTAAAACAAAGGAAAACAAAAAAAGAAAAGAAACTATGACCGGGACATGCTTTTTATGAATATAACTGTGTAGGACCGTGATCCTTCACAGATGATGATCAAAGATGCCAAAACCAGAGTTATGTAGGTTGCCACAGGACAGCATCCTGTCCCCACCCCACAGAAAGTCAAATATTCAAAATTCAGGACTAGTGACTCACAGTTACCTCGGTTTGATTCTGAAATGAGCACCTGCCTGACTGGAAGTGATACTTTGATACTAGCATATTTTTCTCAAACAGCACGACACCTATAAGGGCACTGCACGTGGACAAACTGGGCTGTCACTAAAGGGAACTAAATATTAGAATAGTTTACCAGTGGCAATAAAGGAGCACTCCACATACTGTTAAAAGCTTATCCTAAACATTGGCAAACCACATCTGTCACCACTTTTAACTCATTTTGTCTATTCATGCTTTTTGTTTTTGCCATATATCTCTATGTTTTTTTGTTTATTATAAAGTTTAATGCAACCTGCTCCGAGACTGCAGTTGTAAATGAGCAGTTTTCCGATGATCTGACATGATTACACTTTATGTGTTTGGTATACCGATGTTCATTACCATGTGTTACCCTGTTAAATAAGTGGGAAAATGGAGTGTTGCCGTTGTCTTCTGACCTTTGACACCAACAAGGCATTTTTACACAGACAACTGCATATCAGTGTATATGTCTCAATGCATGCTCAGTCATCCAGATAAGTAAATCCCAAAAGGTTGCTTCTGTGATCAATGTATACTCTCTGTTTTTTGGAACATTCTCAGTAAACTCTAGAGACTATTTTGTGGAAACATCCCAGTAGACCAGCAGTTTCTGAATATTATTCAGATAATATTATTACCTTGCGCTTTTTGGACTTCCTGCTGTCCTCATCATCTGAATGATGATGGTGCCTCTTCTCTTTATGTTTCTTCTCAGAGTGCCGATGACTCGGTGCCTCCTCTTCTTCCTCAATTATCAGGTTGTACTTGGAACTTTTACCTGAGTTATGGAAATCTCCAGGAAGTTGAGACAGTCAGTTCTGAAAGCTCTGCCAACTCAAACCGGGAAAAGAAAAGGAAAAAAAATAAAGAAGAAAAAGCACACAGCAGCTGGCATGTACTGCAGAATGATATGTTGTGGCACGAAGTGGAAAAACTGGAAAACTCAATCCCAGCCTATTGACGCACAAGGATACTCTTGTTTTGGCTTCACCTGATCCTTGAGAGCCAGTTTGGATCGATTCTCTACATCCTTCTCATAAGCTTTGAAGTCGTCTTTAGTGTATTTCCCCCCTAGGAAACGGAGAAAGCAGTGAAGGTCACGGCTAATGAAAAGGTGTGGTAATACAAAGGGAGAACAACACCACTAATGACAGAAACTTTGGTGTAACTGGTGCACTTTAAACAACATAAACTAACATGCAAACCACAAAGCCTTCAGCTTCATTACCTTTCCCTTTCCATTTGATCTTTGCAACTGATTGACTGAAGTCTACGTGAATGCGTCTGTCGTCAATGAGCACGTTGTCCATTTTGAAGTAAGCTTTCTCACAGTCTTCTTGCTGTGGAGAAAAAAACCCCCACAGTAAATCTAAGGAGCTTGGAAAGAAAAGTGTCTGGACTTCTTTAAGTTGCTTGAAGACATTTCACCTCTCATCCGAGAAGCTTCTTCAGTTAAAAACAAAAAAAAACTGGTAGTAAAGCTGCTCGATAATGGTAAAAGTTGTAGTCCTGATTACTTTGCTCAAGATTATAATCTAGGTTATATAACACACATTAAACTGAAGACCCCCTTCCACCAGGACGTTTGCATGTGCAGACCAAATGGCAACGTCTACCAGCACCGAAGTTTCAAAAACTGTAGTTCCTCTTATGGCCTCTTGAGGCTGACTTCCAAAGCAAGTTATTCTCCACAGACTGCAGTAATGCTATTTGGTACAAAAATCATCTTGGCCTATAGACAGTTTTCAGTTTCATAACAGCTTTGCAGTGGGCGTTTCTGTAGGAATTAAGCCACCTCTGCTAATTCTGAACTCGTCTTCTCCAGTGTGTTTGTGCTGTTGTAGCATTATTAATGAATTTATCTGACAAAGCAATACCTCTCATTGGGTGATTCAAGTGGTATAAAAGGTTTGTGGTTCAGTTTTGGTGACTGAGCTTTTAGTATTTTATATTGTGTGCACTGAATGTAAACAGACACCCTAATATATAGATGCAACTTGATAACCTAGCTAGCTAGCGTAAGCTGTTAATACGTTTTGGCCTAAATATGGACACGTCTGGCTCCAAAATACATGCAAGAGCAAACCACTAATGCTAAAGCTTCAATATGAATAGTCCAAAAACATCTGTGCATGTCGTTAACAGTCATGCAGGAATTAATGCATCATCAATCATGTGAAACAAGAATCAAGATCGAGTTTTGATAAAACGTTAAGTTACTGGAAACTGAAACCAAAAGACAGCAGTAATCTGTAGATATTTGACTAAAATGATAAATAATCTATTATTCTTTACAATATTTGTGATTATTTTCAGCTTTTAAAAAGCAAAAATCTGCTTTTCCAAAAATAAGAAAAGAAAAAACAGATGTTCTCAACATTAATGAACTAAGCAAACAGTAAGAAACCCTCTAAACAACAGCAAGGTTTTCCAATAAGAACCATTATCAGTGCCCACTATCAGATATCTAAGAAGAAGAAAAGACCTTGAGTAGAATTTGACATTAAGTGCCAAACTCCTTAAATAAGAATGATAGGCAAAGGTATCCTCCCTACTGACAGAGATTACATGGCACGAAACCTCTCTGCTAATCATAAGGGAAAAACCCTTGGCTGGGACTCGTATTCCATTGTCCTATACAAGAACAGCTTTTCATATTTCCTCATATTTTTTAAACTAATCTTTAAACTCTAATGGTTTAATTATTCACTGCACCTGCTTTTTTGTCCCATTTCAAAACCATGTAGCACTACCAATGAATATTTAAACTTTCATTAATCAGAAATCAAGAATTAGGGAACATATACATGGACATCAACTGAACAACTGAAGTAAACAACACAGACCACATTTGTTTTTTTTGCTTTTATAAAAACATTTTTTGGTTCTAACCTTTAAGCCATTTTATATTTGTATAAATTAATGGTAACAGTACAGTATAAGTTACATACATTAGCAATAACAGCTGGGGTGTCAAATTGAATTACAGATCACAACAGGGCCCAGACGTAGTACTGTATGTAATTTGCTAACATGCTTGAATCAAGAAGCATCCTGGATTTCTATTGCTGCATATCCCATTATGTCTTCTTACATATAAGCTGATCCACACAAAGGTCTCAATAGTTGGTGATAAACTCCCCAGTAAAGTAAATAAAATACAATTTAGTGTTTCCTGCCTATTAAGATCTGCATACTTTTGCACGTTTTACAGATGAGCCAAACATTTCCCTGCTGCTTAAACCTAACAGAGGATAGATTTAGGCCTGGAGGCCTCCAGTGAGTGCAGACCTGAAAACCTGTTTGGAAATATTTTGTTGTAATGAATTTACTGGTGATAAAAAACAGGATAAAATGGTAAAAGTAAAAAATATATATATTCTACCCAAGTAGTGTGGGCTCAAGTCTCTTAATATAGTTAGATAAAGACCTAACAATATTAGAAAGAAACCCCAATAATCACACAAGCAAGCACTTGGTGACAGTGGGAAGAAAAATATCCCTTTTAACAGGAAGAAACCATCCCACTGAGTGAACGTCAGAGGAACCCTACTGATTGTTTGATCATTATTTACACTGAGGAAGATAACTGCTGTTCCATATTTTTATAGCAGAGCTCGCTCAAAGTTTCAAATATACATTTGATGTAATTTAACATAATTCTTTTGTTTGTTTCATTTGCAATCCATATGCTTGTAGATCTTTTTAAAGACGCGCTTATGTTGCAATATATGTGACTCTACAATTAGCTATGCACTGCCTTGCATTGTTTTGCCCTCTTGTGGACGAATGCTAACCCAAATAATTTGAACCCGTTTTGGGTTTTTTTGTTTTTTTAAATGAAACATGATTGAAACGCCTCTGAAAGCTCCAGCGGTGTGCATGCAGGTGTTGGGATGTTCTGAAGCCAAGTGCACTCAATCAATAATTCACCATAGTCAGTGAAAAAACTAATAGTCCATGATTGTGTTCTTCGTTATCTTCTGATGGTGTAGATTTACGAGTTTACCACAGGGAGTTGCCCTTTTAATAGTTATAAGTCATTACCAGTCATAACCTGGGGCAAATTCCACAAAATCAAAATTTTATGGTTTTTATTTTCACAATGTATAGCAGGCTGACAGCACCTTCATGATAAACACAGTCTTATATTGTGGGTTTAGTTCTCACTTCTCTATGATACCGACTCCACTGAGGCACGGCATGATAACAACATGTCACTATAAGAACATGACTGATTTCCATTACTCCTGACCAGGGTTTTCCCATCTATCACTTTCACTAAATTTATTGTATTTACTCTACTGATACTGATATGCTTCCCCATTCTGCACATATGTATCACACAAAGGACAGTGAAACATGGAAGACTGTTAAAGATTGGTTGTGTCATGCAAACTGAAATGCCAAATGTGTACACACAAACATGTCACTAGGGACATGTTAATCAGTAAGCTAACCAGGCTAACCGTGCCCTGGCTCAAGCTCATGACACCAAAACAGATCATCACGATATCTCTAACAACTATAAATAGAGTAAACATAATGCACTGATTATATAATTATTATAGAGGAAAAAAGTGTTTTCTTAAATCTAGAACTTTTTCTTTAAACTGTTATCACTGCAGTATACACACACTTACCTTTTCAAACTCTATAAAAGCATAACAGAGGGAGTCTCCAGTTTTCCAGTCTCTGATGATCTCACAGCTACACAGAACAAAGGATTATTTGAAGAAGACAATACAGAACCAAGGCAAAATGTAATAAATAGAAATAACTGGAAAACAAGCTACTTTGTAGTACTTGGAGTGAAGCGTCACCTTTTTATGCATCCAAAGCGAGAAAAAATGATTTCCAGGTCCTCATCTGTGGTCACTGGGTTCAGCTTGCACACAAACAGCACGTTTTCTGGAGGCTTCACATCTGCATCAGGGAGGTCGCCTACCTGGATGGATTTACAACAGAAGAGCTTGAGTATTTATTTTTTGCATCTTCTTACACGCAAACTCTCTCACACACACACTTCAACATAAAGCTGAGAGCAGGTTTCCTTATCTTACCATCTCCAACAGGATAGCCTGAGTCTTGGCCTCTTTCTCCTTCAGCTTCTCCTCTAGTTCCTCGGCTCCTTTCCCATCTGTATCATCGACCACTTCATCTGCACCGATACGGCCACTCTGCACAGCCATGGCAGAAGCATTTACTTACGGTACTGTACAGAAGTCATGCTAATTTCTTTAGATCTTGCTTCCAAGCTGTCAGACCTAATTTTTAAAGTGGTTTTGAGCAATAGTTCTCCTGGCTTTCTGACGATTGTTCAAAGTGTTTTTTGCATATTGGCTGCTTCTTTTACTGCACTGTGTACAAGTACTACTTCTACACAATTCAGAAAGCATGTGCTTACAGCCATCTGTAAAACATGGCAAAGGCTCTGTCATGGTTTGGGGTTACGTTTCAGCCAGTGGTGTTGGGGATCTTGTCAAAACTGATCGAATTATGAACGCAACAAAGTATCGTTCGATTCTGAAAAACCATCTGGAAAGGATCTGACTGGCAACAGCTTAATTTTTCAGCATTACAATGATGTCAAACTCACTGCCATTGCAGTCGAAGTATACCTAGATAGAAAAACACACAACAGAACACTATCAGTCACGGATTGGACTCCGCAGGGCAGTGTGGGGTCATCTTGACAGAGAAGGCAGCCAACATCCAAAACAGAGCATTGAATGTCCATCAAGATCAATATTCTTTTAAACAACTTTAACAAGCAAGCTGCCTAAGAGAGTTCAGGATGTGTTAAAGAAGGTGTTTGACTTTTAAGCTTGTTAAAATTAGAATCGCAAATATGAGATAGATATCTTTTTTATCTTAGCTTTATGATCTTGCTATGAACATCTATCTAATTGAAGCTGCAGCCCTATACTCACATCCAGCTGCTCCTTGGTGGGTTCAGGCGATCGATCAGGCACCGGTAGGTCAGGAGGGTCATCGAACGGATCGTCCAGGATCACTGTGTGGTTTATCCTACAGCAAAATGTAATAATAATAATAATGATGATGATGATGATAATAATAATATGCCCTGAGGTTTTTTTATTAAAGTGATAATGAACGCAGCAATAACATTATTCCTCAAGTTGATAAAACAAGTGCAATACAGTTTGTCTTGACTCGCCTGATATCTTGGAATGGGACAAAATCCTTGTCAACAAAGGCCTCATTGATTTTGTTCAGGACGTCCATGCCCTCAGTCACTTCCCCAAACACTGTATGAACTCCATCCAGATAGTCTAGGTTCTCGCCAGTGGTAATTAGAAACTAGGAAGAAACATACCTCTAGATATAGTATCTCATGTTAAACAATCTTGCAAAATATTATTTAAAATGTATTTATAATATATATTACATACAGATCTATGATTTCTGTATGAATGTTGAATATGTTTATAGATCATTTAATCTGGTCTAACCAACAGGGGATGAATAATAATGTATTTTTTCTGTGGTTACTGGTCTGAAAGCACTCAACACTGGGTGCTCATCTCATTCACCTGAGAGCCGTGCTGATCATTTCCATTGTTCACCATGGACACCGTCCCCTTCTTCTTGTGTTTAATGCGTGGCATTTTCTCCAGATCAAAAAAGCGTGCCTGGTCCCCATACAGTTTGCTAATAAGACACAATGGAGAGCATCTTTATTTTTTGTCCAACATCCTCAATCTGCTGCTCTCTTAAAAGACGGATAAGACTCACCTATACACAGATTCTCCTCCACGACCTGTGCCAGTAGGATCTCCAGACTGCATGATGAAGTCTCTCTGGAAAGAAGATGAAGAGTTATGAAATGTTACACATATAATGTGAAGAAAAAGACAGCAAATGTGCAAAATCTTCATTAGAGTCTGAAAAAATATGGAGAAGATTTCAGTAGAAACTTTTAACATCTGTAAAGTCTACATACGATTAAATATATGAATAAAAATTGGCAGGTGACACCCAAAGGCAAACGCCCAGTGGTCCAGCAGCATTAAAACCCTGACAATGGGTTTGCTTTACGCAGTGGCAGCACAACTAAATCAAGAAGAAGCTAAAATAACGGATGTCTGAATGAAATAATCTAACTGACAAACTGCTGCATGTGTCAATTTTATAGGTTTCTTTTAGACTTTGCTGCAGGCTGACAGCAACAACTTTGTCTCTTTATAGCGGCAATACCTGGAGTACGCACAGGTGACTCTCAACGGAATGAGAAATGAAATTACTCCAGTTATTTTAAAACTTTAGCTACAACATTTTTCTCATTTAATTTTACAATATCAAATACAAATCTAATATGAAATTATACTCTGACGTTCAGGCTTCCAGTGATCCATCCATCTACTGCTTATTGGGGTTGCATGGGCAGCAGAGAAAACCAGACCTCCCACTCCTCGGCCACTAACTCCAGCTCATCCAAGGGAACAGTGAGGTTTTCTCAAACCCGCCAAGATATGATCTCTCTAGTGCAGGGGTGTCAAATATACGATCTGGCTTTGGAAAATGTGAAGAGGGGCATAAATTGTGGACTTTTAACTGCATTTTTCCTGCTTGCAAAGATCTTCCCCATGGTCATTCATGCTACACCAAAGTAACTAACTGGCAGTTAGACATTTAAATGACAGAAAAGTTCCTGTTTTATTCATTATCAGCTATAGAAAGTAATTACAGGAGAGCCTCGTTAATGAGCTACCAGAACCTTGTTTTCTGTAATTTCACAGAAAAAAAAAATCTTCAATTTACAAGAACAACATTTGTTTATCATGTAGAAAAACTGAGACGTACTGCATGCACGACCATGCAGGTGCTAGACAAGTGTAACTAGTAAACTGTTTGGGAGTATTTAGAGACTTGTCCTGCTGATAAAGGTGAGCCAGGGAACATGGATAAAGTTCTGAGGACTATCTGTCTCAAGAAAGTTGTGGCTAACAAGCAAGGAGATACTAAAAGGAAATTAAAATCTAGACTAATCAACTAGTCTGAACGCATGGAACAAACTTAGCAGTAGAAACACCAACCTTCCTTTCTTGCACGGTAACGTCTACATGCTGGTTTGCCATTATGACATCAATGCAGTTTCAATTTAATTTAAATTCTGCCATATTAACTTGTTACTGGGTCCAAATGCAACACCACTTACATCTAACTTCCGCTATTACTACATACTGTATTCTGGGTTGCATGAGGTTTCCCAAAGAAAACCAAATTTGAACCATTCACTACCACATAAAGTTTATACAGGACATTTCGCTTTACCTGCACATTGTGGATGAGGCAGTAGTTGTAGTATTTTATCTTGCATAACTTCAGAAAGTTTAAGCAAGCTGGAAAAAGAGCACAGAGTCCAAGTTAAGCCACAGTAATATAATTAACTAAGTCTTTATTAACAGAGTATTTATAGCAACACGATGTATGGGTAACTTTGCACAACACCGGCTAATGTTAACTAAAACAAATATGAAGCAAACATGCTAACGACGATAGCTAGCAACCATTAATTCTGTAGTTTAACGTCCCAGTGAGTGACTCAACCAGCAGCCGCTTACAGAAATTAGCTACCACCAAGAGTAAGAATTTTTGTAGTCTTACTTTTAGGCCTTTCGTCTGTAAACAAATCGATCACAATATCGCCCAGACTCGTTTCAAGGAGCACCGCCATGCTGACGTTCCTCTTCTCGCGAGAAGAAAATCTGCGCCTGCGCAGTACATTTGCGTGCTCAATGTTTTTGTTTTAGCTGTCCTACTGCTGTTGCTGTTGGGAAGTGAACTCAAAATGGAAATGACGTGGTCGACAGTTTGTGTTCTATTACTTTTTTTTGTCTCAGCAACTCGCACAGAGACGTCGAATAGACAACTGAATACGGTAAGAGCCACGGAGGCAGCAAATATATGGAGCTAACTTGATCATCATAGCATTAGCTTACTGAGAGTCCAGGGCCCTATTCCGGAAAGCAGGTTTAGCTAAACCTGATGAGTGGAAATTCCCAAGTTTTTTTTCTCCCAGAAAGAGTTAACGTAATCTCAGCCTCGGATACATTGGTAACACTTTGTGAACTTACCCTGCTCACTAGCAAGTTTTAGTCAACCAAGTCGTCCTTCCACAGACTCTTCCCTTCCTGCAGCACCTGAACACATTTTTCAATTTCCTCATCCAAATAGCACATAGCAGAGCGAATTAATTTTTTTTTTTTAACTCTTGACTATTTCCCTGTAATAAAAAGGTTGACTGTTTTAATCAAATCTTTAGACACAGAACACGCTGATCAGTGATCAACCATATTTGTGTAATCGGTCACACTGATGGAAAAATGCCTGTCATAGTTGAGATCTTGGTGATGTGAATATGTGAGTGAAGAGGAGGCTGAAATGGTTTTGGTATTTTAAGAACTAAACCGATTTTAAAGTGACTTTTTAAAACGAGGCTGTAGAAAGTCTAACTATAATCTGATTACACATCATGTTGAAATGTGTTCACGGACTGAGATTCAGTTTTTAAATGATATTAAAAAACATCCCACTGTCAACATCAGCAAACCAGGTCTGCCTTGGAGTCAACTCGCGCAGTGCATAAGGATCACAGATTCAGACTGGATCAAATCTGTATCCAATTCAGATCCAGCCATTTCCCATCTCATTCTGTCTGGACCTGCTTTGGATCAGTTCATAGTGGCTTATTTTGTCCCAAATCCCACAATGCAAGTAAAATGTCTAATTCAGAATATAAAGAGCTCTTTAAAAACTTTGGCATGTCTTATAACATGTTTGTCTTTAATGGTTAAAGTTTACATTCATAAAAGATTTGAAAATTTGTCCTGCATTTTTCAAGTTGCATTCAAAACAGGTGCAACATGAACCCAATTAACCGTAACATCTCTGCTATGGCTGCAAGAGAGACATCACTTGTTAGTGAAGGCAAATATTAGTTCACATTATAAAGGGTTAAACTGGGGAACACTAAAAGGTTTTTTTGCAAATCTCATTAAGAAATGTTTTTTCATGGGAGAAATGATAAAATCCTCCATTCAATTTTTTAAGGTGGTTACAGCCGTTAAGTACATTCAAATATAAAACAGTGATTAACTCTCTGTAACTCTTTGTTTACTTGTTGCCATAGTGAACCTGCTTCCTGGAATAGAGCACAGCTACATGTACTGTAAATTACAAGCATTGCAGTGTTAAACCTAATCCTTTCGTTTTTAATGACTGACCACCGTAGGAAAACATCCTAATCAATGTCACAGCGGGGACACTGGCAGACACACAGCTGCAAGACTCTAACAACTTACAGGTACTCAGTGTAAACTGCTCAGTAACCGAAGGTTCGTTTTCTGTAAGTATGAACTCCAACAATTAGTCGCCTGTTTGTTTTGTCTATTTTTTTTTCTTTTTTCAGATAAATTTAAACATATCAGTGAGTGAAGAGCAGGTGCTGGTCAATGACGTCCCAGTGGAGCTGTCAGGGGTCACTAGGTTCAACTGCCAAGCGCTTCTTTGTGAGTTTTTCACACATTTATTCAAACCAGTGTGATTTTAATCAGGGGAAAGCACTTATCTCAGCTGGAAGAAAATATACTGTTCAAATGTTAGAAATGTAAATATTATTGTCAGTGTAAATTCAGTAGAGTTCAGTATTGTTTAATCAATCATGATTTCAAATGTATATCAGATTAGAGTCGTTTATTCTTATGCTTTTCCTTATTGTTTTTGTTAAAAAAAAAAAAAGCAAAGAAAAACGTGGTGGTTAATCACATTAAATAAAAGTGGTCTAAAACACTTTGAGAATGAACCAAGGGGCAAGCTCTATATAAGACAAATACAGATTATTTTGGTATTTGGTTAACTGTGAGTCATGCTGTGATAGTCTAGTTTAATTCAATAAGAAAAATATGGATCTGGAAATGAATACAAGTCCACTTAAAAGTCAATTAACATTACAGTGATTGGAAAAGTCAGTGATAATGGACTTTTAGACAATCATAAATCACTAATGGTTTTTTAATGGACTACCCAACAGACAAACAGGTGCCTGGGTTCCACATTATGTTTCCTAATGTGAGTTTATCATTTTAAAAATGCCAAGTGATCAATAGGAAGACATTTTCCCATTAAGTAAGCAAAGCTGAAAACCGTACTGCTGATTAAAGAAGCAATACATTTGAGCAGTTGAAGCAACAACTGAAAAAGCCTAAGTCTTCAGCTGGCAGCTTCATTAAAGTGTAACCATAAAACAGGAGAGATCAGAGACTGGACAATAAAAGATGAAGATTCAGACATACAAATGAGCACAGACAGTGAGAAATATGGCCTGTTCTGTTGAAGCTGCCAGTTGGAGCCCATGAAGTAAAAATTCTTATATTCTTGCTCAGTTGTGCACAAGGTCCTCCCACCAGTCTTTTAGAGACTGGTTAGACCCAACTCCAGTTCTTGTTTTCAAGGGAAGTCTGTGGATTTCTTGACAGTGACATTTCAACCTCTAATTCCTCTAATTCTTCTACTTTTTGTTTGTTTTTCTTAGTGGACAGTGTCAATGGGAGCAGTGAGTTTGAGTCTGGGGACATAGTGTCCACTGTTACCCGGGTGATGGTGAGCCAGAACAGGCTGTACAGTGACTCAGAGGAGGTGGTGGCTCTTCAGGTCTTCAGTGAAGTGATAGAGATGGATGGCAAAGAGGTAAACACTAATTGTACAGCTCTCTGACAGAATCTCACAGTTTTTGTTTTTAATATTAAGAATAACTCTGGAGTAAATATGACTGAAATTATCATGTGGGGACAAGCCTCTGTGGCTTTAAAGAGGTGGTGATTGCTTATACTAAACATGGCCAGAGTTTAAAGCTGATGCTCTAAAAACTTGCTTTCACATTCAAAAATCCAAAGTGAAACAGTTTGTGTTCATGTAGCAACAGGAAATAGTGTTTCCTCATTTCTCCAGTACAGCCAAATTGGATGGACATAGCTTTCAGGTCTGAAATGTGAACCATATGTGGAAATCCCAAAAGTTGATTCTGTTCATGTGGATGTAGCGTTTTCAGTGGGAGAAATGTTTCGTCACTCATCCAAGTGACTCCTTCAGTCTCAGCTGAATGCAGGTTTCCCTGACCTTATAAACAGTACATTTGCACAGTGACTGAAAGTAGCACCACTGAATGAACAATGGGCCTTGATATGGTTCTTTCTAACGGCCAGCAGGGGCGGCAATTGTGGTGAGTAAAAGAAGTTTATAAAAGTCTCTCGAAAAATGTCCCTTGCTCTATGACCTCATTAAACACTTTGCCGACAATTATGATGCCAGTCATTAGTTTTGAGTCTTAGAGGATGCAACTTAGTGTTTATGTTGTAAATTATGGTCCCCTTTAACATGCACAAAAAGCAAATAAGCCAAACTTAGCTTCTTTTTTATGGGGGCGGGGAGTTCGTTGTGATTGACAGATCACTTTAGAATGAGCAGTCAACCTTGCTTTAACTGTGAAATCTGGATAATGGTGACAACAGGGCTTACCAAACTGTCTGCTGCTTGTCTGTTTTGTATGCAGTCTACGGTACTGAGAGCAGAGCCAATAATGTGGGAACTTCTTGATACTCAGACTAATGCAAACTGAGTGCAGACACAAAGGCTACGTTCACACTGCAGGCGAAAGCGCATCAAATCTGACTTTTTTGACCCTATGCGACCCATATCGATCACGGATTGACAGTGTGAACAGCAGGGCCGCTTTGAGGGTTCACACTAGAGCGCGTTTGCTGTCACATTTTATTTGTAGTGTGAACAAACAGACAAAAAATTCGGATTTGATCAAAAAATCAAATCCTTAATTGAGCATTAAGACCTGCAGTGTGAACATAGCCATTGTGTACTGCATTCTAGAATTTGACTTGTCATTCAAGTCAAATTCCAAATGCATTGTGGGATGTGCCTTTTGAGTCTGATGACTCATGCATAAAATATGCATCAAAGAGCCAGCTTAAGTATGTTTATTTTAAAAAGTTGTTGCATTTTCCTTTTTGTTTTTTGTGGGGTTTTTTGTGTGTGTTATTCAGGTCCAGCAGCCTGACATGTGTGAGGTGAAAATACTGATGAGCCCAGACTTCCAGAAGCTGGCCCAGTTTACCAACATCTACCCCATTGGACACAGTGATATCTTTAGGGTTCCCAGAGAAAATGATGTGGTTGTCACAGATCCACCAAATTCTAGAAAAGGTTTGCTTTTTGTGTCCTAATTGTCAGTAAACTACTCATTAGCTGTCCAGTTTAGAATATTGGCTATTAATTAATATTTAATATTTTTCCTGCTGCACTTTTCAAATCAGATGAAGAGCAGCTGATCTCTCAGACCACAAGCCAGTATCCTCTGAAGCACACAGAGACCACCCGGGAAGAGATTGCATCCCCCGGAAAACTCCCAGAGACCCCCCTGCGTATGGACCCTGACCTCCTGTATGATGTCAGATATGATGATGAACTTGATTACACTTACCCGAGCCAGCCTGATCAGAATCAAATGGAAACTCCACCCAAGGAACTTATTTCTTCTTACTCTGTAAGTGCAAGTCTGCAGTAAGATCACACTCATTCCAAACAATACAGTCTGCTCCACAAGGAGTTTCATAGGGTTGAACTGAGAATGAACCAAGGCCAGTATAAAATACTGTAAATCACACAAAGCTACTCTTTGGAGTCACAGAGTACAAACAGGGAGCCAGAGTCTCTACTATTAGGAAGATTAAAGTGAAAGATCTGAAAAAAATGTCAAAGTTTGTAGTTATTTCATGTTATCAGGAGAAAATATTGAGTAATATTTCCATCACAAACTACACAAAGTTAGCTATACAAAAAGAAATCCTGCAATCTGCAGTTAAAAGCACATCATCTCCTCAATTTTGACACTTCTAGTCTTCACAAAGTGAGCACATTGTTTGAAAATTTCTTCCACAATAATTAACAATGTCTCCCCAGGCCATGTGTCAGTGGGTAGAGCAAGCCAGGGAGCGTCTGCGGCGCTTCTGTTCCGAATCCCTGCCTCTCTTCTTCCTGGTCATGTGGGTGGTCGTGATCGGCGTGGTCGGATCAGCCGTCATCGTCAAGATCTTAGATGTGTTTTTCCCAATTTGTGAACATAAGTGAGTTGCATAGATACAAGATGAATGTAGCTGTTGTCACCTATTGGTTTCTTTACTCTTTGGCTGCTGCCATATTTGTTTTCTGGAGGTGGGGGTCATCATATTTAGATGAAAGGGTGGCGTGCTGAGTTGCTAATGAATGCAAGCTTGGTTAGGAAGCATTCATATTCATGTGCAGACACGCATATTGCTAACAGGTTAATGTAATGCTAGAATTTCACTCGCCAGAAGAGAAGAGCAAACTTCTTGAACTGCCTCCTAACTTTAAACTTTCAAATTCAAATTGAGTTGCAGAAACATTCCTGGCAGATGAGGCTGCTGAGTGTTTTTTCTTCCCCCTTTTGCCAAAGCGCTTGTTCCTAGGGGTCATATGACTGTTGGGGTGTTCTGTTGTAGGATCTTTACCTTATAATACAAAGCGCAACTGTGATTGTGCACGCTATAGAAATAAAATTCAACTGAATTTTTGGTGCTGACCTCAAGTGGTCATTAGAGGAACTACAGGTTTTTTGCATCGGCTTCATTTTGACATTTTGACTTCAATTTTGACCCCCTCTGTGATTACTTCCAACAAACTTTTTATTTTCTGTTTTACAGGCGCATTTTTAATGTAAACTCTGTCCCTGTGATGCCAGAGGATGAGAAGCACAATCTCCTGGAGAACATAGAAGTAGAAGCAGAGGAAGAAGCGAAGAAGCCTTGAGTGAGGATCATCTTGACCGGCTCCTCCAGTTTGTTCCTATTTGTTGTTTAACCTGCGGTTTGGCATGGCCCGGTTTTGTTCTGATCTGTGAATCACCACAGCTTTTCCTGTCACTTTACTCTTTCCTGGTCTTTGTGAATCTTTTCATCAGCCAACATAAGCTCATTTAATGTTAGCTTATACAAGTCCTGCAGAATGGAGAGTAAAGTGAGAGATTTATGGTGTTGAATGTCATGATGCAATGAGATTAAAGTATGGAAGGCTTACGGTTACCTTACCAGCATCTGCTTTCAGCACATTGTGCAGAGAATCTGCAACAGTGACCACTTTTGCTTTACCCACACCCAAAACATGTTTAGCTGGCATGCAGTTAACAAAAACAATGTCCAAGATTCAAGGGATTATCAGATGAGCTGAAGCTCTGCTTTTTGAGAAACATTTTGTTTTTGTTTTTTTAAGTCATTTTAGCTGAAGGTCAAAGGAAAAGACTGATACCGCTCTCCAGCTGCTGGTCTTGGCACCCATGTTGGCAGTGCTTTAGGAAGGTGTTTTGAAGCTCCCATCTAAATGAATGGTAAGACCCTCCCAATATTATTTATAATGTCCATCAGGACAAAAACTGGAAAAGGCCTTTTTGGTAATAACATGACATAACAGCTCTTATATAAACTCAAACCGTTCAAAGTTTACTCTCCTTCCTTTGTTTCGGTAAAACTAACTGTTAGCTGCAAGGTTAACATGATCAACCCAGTTTCCTGATGGCAGAGCTGTGCAGACACAGTGTATATGGGCATAAATACAAATGATTACATTAACATAAGTCATTGAAATTTCACCACCAGGGAGCAGTGTTTTATCAGTGGGTGTTTAGAAATGTTTTTGAATGTAAACTTCTTTACTTTTGGTAATTCTATTTCTGCCATATCCCTGTTTTCGCAAGTAGCTTTGCTTTTCCCGGTTTGATATTGTTGATAAGAATGTGCTCCTAGTGACTTTCCTGGTTGGCTCACTGCACCATCTTGTGGTACAAATTGGTATTACACAAAAGTATAACCTTTAGCCTTTGTATCAGATCTGCTCCAAAGCTCAAGACCAAAGCAGTTTTATATGGTCTACATCCTCAGAACTGTTACTAAATGGACCATTTATCCTGTTTAGTTCAAGTTTACGTATCACTAAAAGTTTTCAGCGCAGAATAAAAAGCTAGATGCTGTGGGGTTAACCTATAAATATGGACAAACTGAGAATTTTAGAACCAGATCCAAACACTTCAGAGTTCCCTTAAAAAAACTTTGTGTATGTAGCAGTTCTTTACAGGTCACACATTTGTTTGCTTTGTGTATATATATATTTTTTTTCTCCAAAATCATTCACCTACAGCTGAAAAAAATGAAGACAGCTCTAAATGCATTAAATGTATTTAAAAGTAAAAAGAGGCAAAGACACTTGCTTAAATCTGTTGAAATGTCTAAAAAGACAAAGCTAAGCAGATTACTGCGTCAGAGTTTCTGTTCTGTCTGTCGCTACTAAAAAACCTCTTCCTTTGACTCGACATTACTGACGTTCATCTGTTAATTGTCTTTTTTTTTTCACTGTGCCTCAGTTTGTTTGTTTTTTATAAGGATTCTATCATGAGAAGAATTACTATGTGGTCTACTTTAATCAGTACTGTTTGTGGCTTCCTGTTACTAATATTGTAGAATGTCAGTGAAGCTGTTCAGAATGTCTATGCACCTTCTCTATATATAAACTACGAGCGGACTGATACAGTCCAAGACTGAAACACAATTCTTGTTCAAAGAACGAATCTGCATGTCCTCACTATCACTTCAGTGGCCTGTGCTACAGAGTAGCTGTTCTTTTCTGAACTTGGGCTAAGCGACGCCACAATCTGGCTAAGCAGTCACACAAAGGTGGTTATCAACTGCAGAAGTTACCCCCAGTTTCCCATCTATCCGTGTGTGCGTTCACATAACAGAGGAAGTGCTGATCTCAAACATTACCTGCTCCAGAGCAGGTTAAGTGTTCAGCATGTTCAGCAGGTTTAGTTGACCTTGCGAAGCTTTAATCATGCTTTGCAGTACAGCCCTCTCTGATGTTTGGCAGTTCTAGGTGTGAAGGATCAAACGGCTCAACGGGCTGTCGGTGAAAAACCTGCGTTTTCATTCATCATAAATTCACAAACCACATTTTCTTTTTTTTTCTTTTTTGTTTGTTTGTTTTTTTATGTGCGAGGGTGTTATTTTACTATTGGTCATGCTTTTTCAAAGACATCCCAAAAGATCAGCTTGTAATGTCATGATTTTCTCTCCCTAGGGCTCAGTTAAACTGCAGTATGCATGATATACTGCGTACAACGAAAAGGTGCATGCATAGTGTAGCTAGTGAGTAGAGTTTGCTGCTCCATCAACAAGTTTTCCATTAAAAATAGGAAAGTGCATGATGACTTAAAACAGTGTTGGAATCTGCCTCATGTTGTGCAACAGAATGCTGTACGCAACACCTAGTTGGTTCAGAGTTAAACAACAAATGTTTTAATTTGGTCTTTGATACATCAGCGTGATATCTTTTTTTGGCATCTGTGTGCATACATTGTATGAATTACAGCTGGACTGTGTATTTGGGTCAGAAATCATGCTAATTAAAAGCTTTCCTTACAACCATCACATGGATATATTGTCTGATAATTGTCTTTGTATGTTGGGTGATTATACTGTGTTACTGTACAGACTAATGATCAAGTGTTATACTGGCACGTAATGTCTACCTTGCGGAGCGACCATGCACCCCTATACACCAAGCATCATGGAAGAGCTCAGAGTACAACCATAAAACTAAAAGCAAACTCAGTGTAGCTCTGTTTTACAGGTGGAGTACACTGACATTTTCCCCTCATATTTTCTGACTGTTTTCCCTAATTTTGCATTAAGCTGTGGTCATTGACACTACCGGTGGTATAATGTGATACATGCACCCTACAGAGGATGTATAGGTAGTCCAGTTCCTCCAGGATGGCACATGAAGACATGCCAGTGCCAGAAGATTTGCTGTGTGATTCCAGGAGATGGAAAGTTAGTCTATGAGAGCTGGATAGGGCTGTAAAGGGTCCTGCATCCCTCAGCAGGACTGGTATTGGCTCCTTTGTGCAAGAAAAAACCGGATGAGCACTACCAGAGCTTCAAAAAAAACAAACAAACCCTTCAGCAGCTTCAGGTGTGAAATGTGTCTGACCAAACAATCCCATGAAACATGAAACAGACTTCATGAGGGTAGCATGACATCCTTCAGTGGGCCCTGTGCTCACTGCCTAGCACATTGAAGCCTGTATGGCATTTACTATAGAATACCAAAAATGGCAGGTCGACCAGTGGCATGTTGTGCTTTCACAGATTAGAGCAGGCGAGCACATGTGACCAATGTTCCCTCTAAGCTGCGCA